TCCTGTTTCTTTGCCTGAGTTAACCAAACTAGTTAACTCTATGAAGACCTCTGCATGCCCCCTCGACATTTCACCCTCATCTTTGTTTAAAAGTGCTTTTCAGTCCATCGGTCCCAGCGTGCTCTCTATAATTAATGCTTCTCTGGTTTCTGGTCAGGTCCCTGCTTACTTTAAGAATGATGTAATCCACCCGCTTCTTAAAAAACCGAGTCTCGACCCCTCTCTCCGTAGTAGCTTCAGACCCATCTCTAAACTTCCGTTCATCTCCAAGATCTTGGGAAAGGTTGTGGCTAAACAACTCACAGCTGCTCTTGATGAACATAACATCTATGATAGCTTCCAGTCACGTTTTCGTAGAGCTCATTCTACTGAAACAGCTCTTCTTAGGGTCTCTAATGACCTTCTGACTCACAGTGATGCAGGGGACTGCTCTGCTCTGGTCCTGCTTGACCTGACTGCAGCCTTTGACACTGTTGACCATCACCTGCTACTGGAGAGGCTGAGAGACTGGGTAGGCCTATCAAGCAATGCTCTGGAGTGGTTCTCCTCTTACCTCTCTGAGCGCTCCTTTTCAGTGGCCGTCTCAAAGTTTAGGTCCTCCACCACCTCTCTTACCCATGGTGTCCCACAAGGTTCTGTGCTGGGGCCTCTACTCTTCCTCCTATATCTGCTTCCTCTTCAGCACATCCTGAGCTCCTTCAAAGGAATCTCCTACCATCTTTATGCAGATGACATCCAACTGTACATCTCCTTTAAGCACCATGAGATGTCTAAGCTGCAGCTGTTACACACCTGCTTAGACTCTATCAAAACCTGGATGACTGGGAGCTTTCTTCAGCTGAATGAAGATAAGACTGAGATCCTCATCTGTGCCCCAGACAAGCTGGTTCCCAAAGTCAGAGACTCTCTTGGTCAGCTTGCTTCCCACACCAAACCTTCCATCAGGAATCTTGGCGTGACCTTTGACCCAGCTCTCACCCTGGATTCTCATGTCAGTTCTCTTGTTCGCTCTTCCTTCTTCCATCTCAGGAACATTGCTAAGCTGAGTCCCATTCTGTCTCGCTCTGAACTTGAGACAGTTATCCACACCTTCATCTCCTCACGCTTAGACTACTGTAACTCTCTTTTCACGTGTCTGAGCAGAACCTCCCTGAACCCTCTACAGGTGGTTCAGAATGCCTGTGCTCGGCTTCTGACCAAGTCCTCCAAACACACCCACATCACCCCACTTCTCCTCCAGCTTCACTGGCTGCCAGTCAACTTCAGGGTTCATTTCAAGATCCTGGTTCTGGTCTATAGGGCCTTACATGGACAAGCACGATCTTACATTGGTGATCTTCTTAGTCCCTACACCCCCAGCAGGTCCCTGAGGCCAGCACACCAGGCTAAAGACCAAAGGTGACAGATCATTTGCTGCTGTGGCCCCCAGATTCTGGAACCCTCTCCCCCTGAGCCTGAGATCAGTGGACTCAGTGGTCTCCTTCAAAAAGCAGCTGAAGAATCACTTGTTCAAGCTGGCTTTTGTATGACCTTCTTCAACCACTCTCTCTTTATTCTGCTCTCCCCACCTATTCCACCTTCCTCAGGATCCACTGATTTCCCTCTTTCCTATTCACTCTCTCTCTTTCTTAACATTTTTTCTTTTAAATCACAATTGCTTATTCTTGCTCATTTTAAATATATTTTAAAACATTTTCTAAATGCTTTTTTATATTTTTACAATTCTTTTATCGTTTTTGTTTTTGTGAAGCGCCTCGTGTTTTTTATCTTGAGAGGCGCTATAGAAATGATATTTTCTTCTTTCTTCTTCAAAATTATTTTGCAGTTTACCAATTTGTGACAAAATTCATCATAGCACAGAACACATTTTAGTTAATTCCCTGCTCTAAACACTCCTGATCTGAGAGTTTATTAAAATTATGTCTACATGCGAAGTTCTGCTAAATTTAATGAGCTATTTTTTTTATTGGACACATTGATGCAGGGAACTATCTAAAGCATGCAGGATAGCAGCTTCTGACAACTATTGGACACACTGACTTGAACTTGATTACTTAATAGTAGAAATTCTTTCTTTTTGAGCTTTAGAGAACAAAATGCTCAAACACTGTATTGTGACAATGTGGAACTAATTTAGGATTGCAGATTTTAGTGAAAATTGCAAAATGTATGTCCAAAATTATTAGAAGTGTGCTGATTCACCATTTAATCGATGCATCACTATGAGCCGATTCAAAATTGATTTGTAAACGAACGATTATAAATAAATGCCAAAAAGCTGCCCCCCAAAGTGTGGAAAAATCATAAAGAGTTACATGTGCAGCCCAGATGCTTGTTTCTTAGCTTTAGCCGCTGAGTGTGAGATTTACACATCAGGGGTCTCATTTATCAAACATTGCATAGACTCCTTACTAAAACCATACTTAAGCTCAGCAAAAAATAAAAATAAAAAAATATGTGCTTATGCCAAGTAGGTTTGTGATCTATCAAACATGGAGTACGCACAGCTGCACACAGTCTCTGCTTCATAAATCAGAAGCTATCTAGAAAGGTTCTCAGCTGCTTTTTAGTCACATCCCGCCCTCACCACGCCCACTTACTGCCATAAATAGTCAATGCAAAGTGCCTTGTGGATCTCAGGCATATACATAAGCCGGCTGTTGCAGAGCTCCGCCAATGACATGGCGACCGTAGATCAAGGCAGATCAAGGAAGCACAATTTCACAGAAGCAGAAGTTGAGGTACTTGTGGGTGAGGTGGAGAAATGAAAGGAAGTGCTTTTGCAAAACAAATAAGAGAAAATCCATGGAGTGGTACAGTGTTGCTGAAGCCGTCAATATTGTGAATTCTTCAGAGAGATCTGTGGCGGATATTTAAAAAATGGTCTAATTGGGTCATGCGTGCTAACCAGTCACCCAAACGGAGATCTCCCTTGTCCAAGTAGCCAGGGCGCATGATCAATCGGGTCACAGTGACAGGACACACACTGTCACAGACGCATGACATTCTGTCTCAATTAGTCCCCCTGCTGATATTCTGCATTCCGTGTTCTGCGCTTTAAGCTGTGTGTGTGTGTGTGTGTGTGTGTGTGTGTGTGTGTGTGTGTGTGTGTGTGTGTGTGTGTGTGTGTGTGTGTGTGTGTGTGTGTGAGAGAGAGAGAGTGTGCACACATGTGTGTGTGCGTGTGTGTGCGTGAGGGGGGTCTTGTTCTGTGTGAAAACGAAGCAGTACAAGTGATAATGCTGCAGGATTTCATAATTGTGTCCTTCTCAGCAGCAGCACTGCAGGTGCTCTCCATGTCCAAAATGTGTGTAAGCAAGGTCCTTAGTCAACTTAAAGTTGCGCACATTTTTCTGCTAAGTTTTCTTTCATAAATCCCAAAGTTTGCGCAAAAAGTTGCTTACGCAGTTTTCCGACCCCGTTTTGTGCGTAAGCAAGCTTGATAAATGAGGCCTCAGGACTGAAGAAAAGTTGTGTAAAACCAAAATAAAACACAACAGCAACACTACCAACATGCAACTACACCTTACACGTTTCCATCCCAAGTTAGATGAAGAGAAGAACCTACTGGTTGTTCTTTCTAACCAGCTAACAATCAAGGAAACATTAACAAAACTTGCCCACAACTCCAAACTTTTTCACAAAACTACGGCGCCACTTTGGTCATTTTGTATTAGTGCTGAGCCGTGGCGGTAATGTAGTGCGATCATGTGTTTGGACAAAGATTACACTTTGGTGGTTCTAAAGTGGGTGCAAGGGTCATCTCTGCACTGTCACGGACTTCCTGTTATCTTAAACATAACTTGTTTTTTATTCTGACTGAAGCAACACTCCTTAAGTTTCTTCACAAGCCACTCCAAAAGGTGTTTGTCCTTCACAGTCCCCTTGAACAGTCTGGTGATCTAAGCTTCAGATCGAAATCCAAAAGCTCCAGGATTTCTGCATCACCCCAGTTTGCCATCTCAGCTGATTACAAAATCAGAAATGACTGCCCATGTTTACTTTCATTTTCATTTTTCACATTTACCCTGTAGATTTCATGCAAAAGTATGTAGGGTATTTGTTCAGTCTTACATGAATAAGACAGTGGAGTAAAATGTATTTGGTAACAAATTAATGTGTGCTGAATTAATTTGAATGCATGAAAAAGCTATGACGTGAGAACAAAAACCTAAAAGGTGAAAAAATGCATAAAAATAGTGGTAATCATGGTAATCATGACAATGGCTTAATAATGGAAGGACACTGAATCAAAATCAAATCGAATCGTGAGATACCTAAGACAACACACCCCTATAGATGATCTGTTTTAACAATGAATGACAGGTTTGTAAGGTAGATTTTGCACGCTCTGTGTGTTTTAATTTTATTTCATTTCATTTTTATTTGTTTGATTTATAAAGTACCTTCTATTACCTCAGCTGAAGCCCAAGGTGCTGAATACAAACATTTGATAAAAAACTGCATCCAGTAAGAACATGCAATAAAAACAATTTAAAAAGACAATAAAAATATTAAAGCAGTAACAATAAATGCCCCAAAAGGGAAAATAAAAACCCTAAAAGGAAAAAGTTAGCACAATGTTGCCAATCCACTGAAGCCTGAAACGGCTTGAGCATAAAAATGTGTTTTCAAGTTTGACTTAAAAACCTGCAATGATGCCACCTGTCTAATATTCAAAGGTAGTTAATTCCAGAGTGTAGGTGCCAAAACAGCGAAAGCATGATCTTACCTGTGATTTTACCTCTTGTGTGCTTTCTGGTACGTCCTCTAATGACATTTTTATAGCATTAAGGGCAATTCTCATAACTCCCTATCCAGCTCTTCATTTCTCTGCTATCTTGGTGCTCACTAACATTGGCATTCCACTGATTCAAAAACAATAGGTGAGTTTCCTATTTCCACATCGACATACATGGGAAGATACAGAAACTGATTTATAACAAGATGGTAGAGATCGTGTAGAGCTCTCTGTTTGATGTAAATAAAGTGACACTTACTGAGACAGATGTTGTCAGTGAAAAATCCCAGGAAACGATCACACTCCAGCCTCATGCTCCCACTTGCTGAGCAAGAGCACCACGGGGCCACACTGGATGTTGAGTTGTCGACATAGTTGGGAATTATCGTGCTTCCTGCAGACAGACAGCACCAGGCTTCGATCAGTATTAAATATTCATTCTCCTCCGAGTTTCTACGCTGTGCTTTATTTTCTAAACCATTAATGGACACCGGATTTCCTGTACACAGACCTGCAGTGAAGAGATAATAATAATAATAATAATAATGTAATTTTACAGGTCTGAGAGCTTGTGCACTGACTTGAGAAATGAAGAAATGCAAGAGAAAGCTCTAATTTTCTCATTTTTTTAGGTCACAGAAGTTTTAATCTTTTTTTTTTTTTTTTGTTCCAACGCACTGGAGGTGGGATTCAAGTGCCTTAATAAATACAAGATCGGAATGAAAATGCCAAGCGTGTGTTTGTGCTGAGGGGCACTATTTGACGGTCTTCAAATGCATTAGGTTGGCGCCTCCTTCCACTGTGTGGAAAATGAAGTGGCTGTTCTTTTTCCTTTTACGGACCGTTATAAAGCAAACTGAACCCTTACATTATAGAAAGTGCATCTGTTTTGCAATAATGAGAAAGCCTTACGCTTTGATAAGTTTCAGCAACCTGAACTTTGTCGTTTGGCTTATAAAATTGAATTTAATTCCAGTCTCCCACTCACTCCTAACCTGTTGTGTAAACATTCATATAGCTTCCAGCCAGGTTTCTCTCATTCCTTCATGTTTTACTTGCACCGTCCTCTCCCCTAGCATATGGCACATCACTCCATTTATTCACTCCCCTTTTCTTCTATACTTGTTTTTTTTTCCTCTACATTGCAAGAAGTGTTTTTATTTCTCTATGCTACATCTCTAAAGCAAACCTACCTATAAGCCCTGTGTAGGCGAGGAGACATGCTCCATAGTTCCCTTGCTTGCAGCCATTGGCAGATGTTTCCAAGGGTTCACAGTCATACTGAAACTGTGCCAGACGAGACCTGAAAAAGCACAAAATGGGCACGGGTTGGTAAAAACACCCTAGAAATGTCTACTTTTTCCAGGGTTTGTTAGAATTCTTATTGTCAATTTTCTCTGTTGGGGTTTTAATTAATATAACTTAGATGAAGACATATAGTTTTCATAGAGAGGAGGGAAATCACCGAACTGTGATGCAAAAGTGATAGAGTAATATATTTCATCCCCCAGACCTGGGATCATTAGTAAAGCCCTCTGAGCGTAATGTGGCTGTGGAAAAATAATGGCTATGCACAAGAGATAGCAATGAGCGATAACTCTAACCCATCTGGTTCTTTATCTGTGCTAAATATTTAACATGTTATTCTAACACTTTCTCTCTGGGGTGTTCTTTTTAATGGTGGCAGAAAGCTTTAAGGTAAAATACTGAACCATTGGGTTTTCTGACTAGCTGTTAATTAAGTTTCAAAGAATCCTGATCCGGATTACCGTATTTTCCGGACTATAAGCCGCTACTTTTTCCCCAAGCTTTGAACCATGCGGCTAATAATGAGGTGCGGCTTTCCTGAAGATTTTCCTTCACCTGCCAGGGGGCGCTTTAGCAGAAAGTGAAACAGGTGGAAGTTAAAAGTGGAAATCGAAGAATGTGCTCATTTTAACTTAGCACATGCAAGCAGCCGGCACGACGAAGAATTATTTTCAAATCCATACCCCCTCATCATGGAAACTACATGTATGAGTTCATATGATGCCGCATTTAAGTTGAAGGCCATCGATCTGGCAGTAAAGGAGGGAAACAGTGCTGCCGCACGTAAGCTTGGCATGAATGAATCCATGGTTCGGCGCTGGAGACGGCAGCAGGAGGAACTCATTCAAGCCAGCTTCACCCGGGGATGATGACAGCAACACGGACAGCGACACTGACATCGCCACAGAAAAGGTATGTGACGAAGCTCTTCTGAGGCTGTTCAACTCCGACACTGAAGAAGAGGACTTCAGTGGTATCAGTGCGCAGGAGGATGATGAATAAACTAATCAATAACTTTTCTGATTTGTTTGATACTGATCAGTTCAGTTACGTTCAGTTAAACTACGTTTTCAATTCAGTAGATATCAGGTAGATATCTGGGGCTTTTAGCCCGGTGCGGCTTATATAAGTACAGTTCCATGTGTTTTTAAAAACGTAGTAGGTGCGGCTTATACTGAGGTGTGCTCTATAGTCCGGAAATTACGGTAGCTTTGTTCAACACGTAGTAACTCCAATACCTATATCAATTTTTAGGGAAATCACAAAAAATTTAATGGACCATCCAACAAAATCAAATGATAAATAACAGTAATAGTACACCTATATAAATTTGTGTCCACATGAGATAACATAATTTCTAATGGTCACAAACCAGAAATTAGCATCAAGACAACCCAATTAAATGTTTTTATTGAGCTCATTTCTAACCTGCACACATAGTCAGCATTGCAGATCCTCATCTGTGTGATGCAGTTAGGTTTGTCCACACTTTCATAAGAACAGCTGGGTACGATGGTCTGCCTTCGACGCTCTGCACATGCTGTGTCTGTGCAGGGACAGAAGAGCAGCTGGTGTGTGTAGTCAGCAGGAACCCGGTCGAAGAACCTGCGCAGGGCCCTATTGCATTTTGGCCGATTGCACAAGCCTGACTTGGCAATGGGTTTGATGCAAGCTGAAACATATTCTGTGCGAAGCTTCTGGCACAAGTCGTCCACATTGCAAGCCTTGGCTGCATCCAGGCAGCGATTTACGGTTGTCATGCCCACATCCGTGTCTGTGGATGAAAGGAGGGTCAAAGACAAGATGTCACTGGAACACTAATGGCAAAAGGTCAATAATGTTCAGTGGGTAAGTGTGTGTAACCTGTGTACTTCTCTTCTTGATAATTATAATGAGAAATAACTTTTGCATAAAATATAACCTTCTGCAAAAATGTTGTTTGACAACAGCTTCATAAAATATGTAAACACAGACTTGTGGGCTTAAATATACTTTTTCTGGAGCTTAATATGAGTATGTGGTTTTTCTGGTCCTATAGTTATGACTACGTGATGTAATAGATTACTCAACCTTTCTCAACAGTAACTGAGAATCATGTTTAAGGTGGTAGCCCATTCCAATATTACAGTGTTTTGTATAACGGTTATTGGCTGTAATGTTGAATTAATGTTGTATGAGTATTTTGATTTTAAGCTAAAATAATCAACAGGAAAATGTGTAACCAGTAGCTGAATACATGTTGTTATTTTGGCAGATTTAAGGGTCTTTTTTATGGGTTTAACGGTAAGTCAGTTTACCTGCTGTGATAGATGCTAAACGGACATAATCGTAATCCCTCTGCACTGTCTCATAGGGATAACGCTCCACAAGATTAAGTCCTGAAAGACAGAAACATTTGTAAAGAAACATTAACAAGAAATTTGTAATATTTCTAACTATTCTACAGTATTTCTTGCTGCTTATGTAAGGTAAGGTTCTGATGGCGACAGATCCAGAGGGTGAAAACAGACATTCTTCTCAACAGCCGCACTCTTCGGATCCTTCTAGGGGATCCCAAGTTGTATTCAGCTCAGAGAAGACAGATTATAGATGTGTTGCCATTACCAAACTCCAGGGTAGTTCCTGGGATGGGGACATTGACCATGAGATAGGATTTCCCAGTCCTCTCAGCTGTTGTGTCTCCATTCAAATTCAACTCTTTCAGAACTTTGCACAGACGTCAGCATATCGAGACTGCTTTGGCAGTGAATGATGTCACTGATCAGCGTCAAAAAACATCCACAGTAATGTTAATAATAAATAAAAGCATTTATTCTATCAAATTATATCATGTCTTAATCCATTCAGAGGACAAGAGCAGATATCTGATGTTCAATGACCAGAAGAAGTGTCGTTTTATACGGCGCTCTGTGAGACAAGCCCCATTAATTAAGTCTTTGAGGGAATTTTGCTGTGTTTTCCGGTGTTGGGAGTAAGATTTTAAATGCGATCAGTGCTTATTTTCCTTTGCATCCTGTCTGCTTCACCAGCAACTCTTCTAATTTTACTAATGCCGATTGTTTTGGACGACGTCTGCTGATGTCATTTCCTACTGAGTTACAACCAATAAGTGTGAGTTAACCGGAGGTTCTGCTCAGCTGATTCCACCGGGCCGTTCGGAGTACCTACCCCTGAGCAGGTACTAAGAAAGTTCCTGAAAATGGCCAGGAAAAAGGCCTTTCAGCCAGCCGGTCAAGTGGAGACTTGCGCATGTCAAGAGGTTCCTGTAAATCTATCTTGAAGTTCCGGTAGTGGAAACGAAGCTAACCCCACCAGTGAGTTCTAGGTCTGGATCCTGGTCTCCTCTCAGTGGGATGAACCCAAAAATTCTCAGAAGATGGATATTTTTGAGCCTCAATTGACTCCTCTTGATGCGGAGAAACACCTAAATGGAGGTTCTCACCTTATCTCTGAGACAGAGCAAAGTCAAGGAGGCAGCCCTTTTAACTGCTTGGATCTCATTCTTTTAGTCGAGATCCAAATCTCATGACTATAGTTCAGCGTTGTGTCGTAGACAGATACTTAAAATCCTCTGCAGTGGTGAAAGGTCGCTGCATCTAATTCTAAATGTTAATACAGATAACAGTCATTCTAATCAGTCAGATGGCTAAAACATAAAGGATATTGTACATATGTTAAATAAGCTCTACAGACCATGTACAGTAGACTGATGAAGACTCCAGTAGATGCTCAGGCAGTTCTTCTCCTTCTTCATTCCTCGTTTGCACTGACAGCCATGCAAGGGGCTGGACAGAAGGGCGGACACCGCCTTGGCACATTGGCTCCTGGCGCCTGGACCAAGCTTCATGCTGCCATTACCAGCCACACACTGACGCAAAGTTCGTAGACGTGGACTACACGCCTCATCACTCGAGCACAAGTCTCCAGCCACCAAACAGTCTGTGCTGGTCAGTATGACATCTAACAGGGCTGTAGAAGAGAAAGCCACAACACAAACACCAGAAGGATTAGGGAAGAAGAAGACAAGATCTTTTCTATAGCGCTTTTATCAAGATAAAAATGAGGCGCTTCAAGGGAGGGTCAGAGACTCCAACAAAAACAACAGGCTACTGTTTAGAACATTTTATATATATTATAGGTACTGGAAAGATGAAATCTAAGCCCCCCACCCATATTTCATGTGGGTTTTTCACGTTTGAACCAGTGACGTGTGGTCATTGTGACAAGTGAAATACTAATAATGATTTAATCTAAAGTCAACGTGTCCACTGACTGGTCTACACATTAGTTTTCCTTTTTCATGTTTATGGTCAAAATCGCTAAATGTACCTGTTCCCTGATCAAATACATATGCAGAAGCGAGAGGGAAAACAGAGATGAGAGCTGCCTCCATTCTCGCAGAGCAGCGCTGCACACATTCACTGAAACAGGAAGTTGGTGCATGCTCACCGTTTTCTGTCTTTATATCGCCAACATATATTTCTTATTTACCATGTGCTGCACATGATGATGTTCTACAGTATTTCTGGTATATTCAATAACAGTGTGTGACAAATGTAGTCTTTCTGAGGGGCCATAAACTCTGAGTGAAAATGCACTGGGGGAGGCAGGCAGTATCCTGCCTCCCTGATGGGGGCAGTGCTGAGCTCCATAGACACCAGTGCAAACTGGCTGCTTGTACACACACTCACGCCAGGTAAGTGGAGCCGACAGGTCTGTAAGAGTGAACTCACTTAAATTTGCTCTGACTGAATGGAAGATTTATGACAAAAAACTGAAGGATTTATTTCAACTGGATTTTCAGTTAGAACAGGAGATGTTAGAGGATGATTTTTACAACAGAGTGATCATGGAGAGGTCAGGTTCTTGGACTTCATTAAAGGTAAGACCATACACAATTTTCAAGTGTGATAAACAAGCAATGAATATATTTTAAGTCAAATGTGTCGAAATATAAAATATTATTTTTGTTTTCTAGTTTAGTTTAGTTGGTGTAATGTTGAATAGTATGGAGTTGATTAATTCATAACCAAGAAGTTTTAAAACTAATTATTTTATTCAAGGTCAAAATAAAATACAAACTTCTAATTCAGGATCATATATTTTCAATTCAGTATAGGTTTATCTATATAGCACCAAATCACAAGAGTCGTGCCAAGGCACTTTACATAGTAAACATTCCAATGCAGGGGTCTCATTTATCAAACATTGCGTAGAATCCTTACTAAAACCGTATTTAAGCTCAGCAAAAAAAATGTACTTACGCCAAGTAGGTTTGTGATCTATCAAACATGGAGTACGCACAGCTGCACGCAATCTCTGCTTCATAAATCAGACATTATCTAGAAATGTTCTCAGCTGCTTTTTAGTCACATCCCGCCCTCACCACCAGGCACGTGCAGAGGGGGGTGCGAAGGGTGCTTGAGACCCTGCCCCTTTTGTGCGAAGTGCCCAAAGTGCCCTTTTTCCGGTCGTTCGTCAGATTTTACCATACAAAACTGTTATACTGTGATACAAATCGGGCACTAGGACCATGCGGAGGCAGCCGCCTCAAGCTGAAGGCTATTTTCCCTTAGACCCGCCTACAAGCTCACTGATTGGCTCTGCCGCATCATACTAGCGTGTGATTGGTTGTCCTTGCTGTCGCTCTACCTTGTAGCCATGGAGACGATAGACCGGTGTTTTCACTGCGGACAGGAGTCTGCGTTCATCTATGTGTAAGTTTTTTTTCTGCCTGCTTCACGTCAGCTGGATAGATTTTAATATCAGAGCTTTTGTTTGCGTGCGTTTGAGTCCGTGGTTAGTGTGTGGAGCAGAGTCAGGTAGCTGCATGTTTGGGACAGAAAATGAGACATGAGAGCGAGTTCTCCTGAAGAGTTGCAGAAACTCAAAGAATCACGGATGTGTCTCACTCTAGATTCTCTGGGTCATAACTTCTGAATTACTAATCGAATAAAAATACTTCAAACGAGTTCTAAAAGTACACGAAACGAGCTTTCCAACGAGGTATTACATGATGTAATTCATGTTACTCCAAAAATCGCTATTAGAAGGAAACCAGCTTTGCAGCGTCACAGAAAGAAACGGAGCGAACCGCGACGGGAGAGCGAGAACCAAAGGGAGGAGACAGTCTGATCATCTTCATCAGCAGCTTTTATAAAGTTATGGAAATGTCACAAATAAAATCCACCTGGTTGGTCAGGTGTCCCAGAAGGCTGTTTCTGTAGATGGTGACACGAGGAGGGACAGATTAAAGCCACACTGGTTTTTATTTGAACACTCAACTGTTTACAAAAATGATTCAGCTTCATTCCAGCATTATTTATGCGTACAATAAATATTTATTTAGCTGAAAATATAATGTTATCAGTGCAGAATTTTATTAGTTGACTTTTTGTAATGAAATGTTTAGATTTAACCTTTTATCTGGCTTATTGATCTTCATAATGCTGGTAGAAATGCTACAGGTGTGAAGTAGCCCATGAGTGTTATTTTATGATACCTAGTATTTATTTTTCTGTATCCCGTTCTCTGGACCAGAGCGTAGACCTGTGGTCACAGACAGGCTGCAGTCATTAAACTGGTTAACATGAGGTCAGGGGTCACACTGTTTTCTGAGTGTTTGCAACACAGTTCTGAGTTTAAATACCGGTAGTTCTTTTGACATAGTTTGCTCAAGTCATTTAGAAGTTCCTGTTTAGTAATAAATGTAAAGAAAATTCAAATCTGTTTTTTTTTTCATTTAAGCTGCAGTTTTACAGACTTTAATAAACATAAACACAAATACAAACCAGACACTGAAAGCTGAGGTTGTTCTGAAAAAAGGAGCAGAGTTACAAACATTTTACACTTTTATTACAATTTTAAAGCCATAAAACAAAAAAATACTTGTTATATTTATGATCATAAGAGGGTTAAACGTGATAAATTTTCCGCCTCCCACAAAGAGATGGTAAAAGTGAATGTGAGCATAATTATATATGTTTTATTACTTTATTATGTATTTTTTATTATTGACTATTACTCCAAAGAGCTCAGATGAAGGCAACTGGACTTCTTTGGTTTCTTTAAAACATTTCACTTCTCCTCTGAGGAGCTTTGTCATTTCTAACTGGAAAATGGGAGAGTCAAGCTTATAAGCTGTAGCTGTCTGTTGTTATTTAAAGAGCAGAAACTACTCTGAGTACCCCACCTCTCCATCTCCTGATGAGTCGTTAGCCTTGATGGTGAGTCATCGTGTTGATTAGATGCAGGAAGGTGTGACCTAGACAGAAACTGAATGAGATTCAAAAAAAAAGTTCTAATCTTTTAAACAACGCTGTTGGTCCTCTTGGTCCTTGTTCTGGTTTTCTAAAACCCTGTGTTAAAAACCTTGGTGTGTTTTTAGATGGTTCTTTTAATCTTTACAGACAGGTGAGTGCAGTGGTCCAATCAGGTTTTTTTCATTTAAGGCAGATAGCAAAGGTGAAGCCATGCCTTCCTGCTAATGTCCTCGAACATGTCATCCACCTGTTCGTGTCTTGCCGATTGGACTACTGCAACTCCCTGTATTCTGGCCTGGACCAGTCCTCCCCACACCGACTTCAGCTGGTCCAAAATGCAGCGGCTCGATTGCTGACTGGAACCAGCAAGTGGGATCACATAACCCCGGTTCTGGCGTCTCTCCATTGGCTTCCTGTCTCTTACAGGATCCGTTTCAAAATTTTACTTTTTGTTTTTAAATCCCTTCATGGCCTGTCCCGTTTACATCTCTGAGCTGCTGTCTGCTTACGTCCCTGCCAGAACCATGAGGTCCAGCTCTGAAGCTCTTTTAACAGTTCCAAAAACCCGCCACAAGACTCGCGGCGACAGAGCGTTCTCTGTGGTTGGGCCCAAACTGTGGAACAAGCTACCTCTCAACATCAGGACCACACAGAATCTAGAGCATTTTAAATCCCTTCTTAAGACGCAATTTTTTGATTTGGCTTTTAATGCAGGCTGACTTTAGCATCTTAATAGTTTTTAACAGTTTTTATCATAGATTGTGACTGTTGTGTGCTCATCATATTTTAGGTTTTTATTGCTGATTTGTTGTATCTTGACTTGTTTTACCTTGTACAGCGCTTTGGTGTAGCTTTGCTGCTGTAAATGCGTTCTGTAAGTAAAATTGACCTTGACCTTGACCTTGACCTTGACTAAAGCTGCATTATTGGTACTGGAAAGGTGAAATCTAAGCCCCGCCCCTATTTAAAGTGGGGTTTTCACGTTTTTACATAGATAGCTTATTTTACTCCTCTCTCAAATCATCTATCTTCTCTGTCCAGAATGTGGACTTTGTCATCTTCAAAGATGTGTCCCTTGTCCTTCAGGTGAAGGTGGACTGCAGAGTTTTGACCTGAAGAGGTGGCTCTCCTGTGTTGTGTTATGTTCTTGTGTGATTGTTGTTTAGTTTCTCTAATGTAAACATCTGGACAGTGCTCCTACACTGGACTGCATAAATGACCCCACTGAGCTTCTATTTGGGTGTTTTGTCTTCTGGATGGACCAGGTTCTGTCTGAGGGTGTTGTTGGGTTTAAAGTTTACCGGGATTTTGTGTTTGGAGAAGATTCTTCTAAGTTTCTCTGAGACTCCTGCCACGTATGTGATGATGGTGCCTTTGTGTAAAGGGTGTTGTTGTTGGGTTGGTAGGAGAGCTCTCATGTTTAGTGTTAAGTTCAGTGAGATCATGGAATGGGATCAAGAATTTTCTACTGACAGGAAAAAGATCTCAGCTAACATAGCTGTAGATCACACTGGATAAGTCTCTGTGGTGCATTTATTTTACATTTATTTTACTACCTCTTACTAGAGCTGTCTTTAGTAAGCACAACATATCTTTGGTTGTACACCTGTGCAATAGCAATAAAGTATCTTGATTCCTGTTAAATGTACTTCCTGAATGAGTGACCTTTTCAGGCTAAAATAACAAAATGACAAATACAGACAGAAGGACGACTTATTTCTTCTTTTATAATGTGTTGCATCACCACCTGGTATCAGAACAGGACTCAGTATTGGAAGATAATCAAAAATCAAACAACTTGGACTCGGATCGGGGCAGAAATGTGGTTGAAACATCTCTAGATATAAGTCAGCTTTAAAAACTAAAACTTTTATTTATGAACTAACATTAACAGTAATTACACTAATTTATATATTTTTATTATGTTGTTTGAACCCAAGGGTCTCATTATCTGAATTTTCTAACTTACTGGATTGCTCTATAAGTGCCCCTTTTTTTACTTTGAGCACCCGCCCCGTCAAAGTTCTCTGCACGGCCCTGCTCACCACGCCCACTTACTGTTGCTGAAGCCGTCAAGGTTGTGAATTCTTCAAAGAGATCTGTGTTGGTTATAAAAAAATGGTCCAGTTGGGATTCAATTCCCAGATTCCCAGGTGAAAGTCACGCGTGCTAACCAGTCACCCAAACGGATATCTCCCCTGTACAAGTAGCCAGGGCGCATGATCAATCGGGTCACAGTGACAGGACACACACTGTCACAGACGCATGACATTCTGTCTCAATCTGTCCCCGTCGTACTCTGCGCTTCAGGCTGTGTATGTGTGTGTGCATGCACGCGCGTGTGTGTGTGTGAGAGTGTGTACGCACGTGTGTGTGTGCGTTAGGGGTTGCATGACTTCATTTTTTTAAAGTTGACAGTCAAGTAATGAAAATCGAGTCGACTTCGACTAGTCGTTGATGACGTCATACACCTGAGGCGGCGCGGGGAGGGGGGGGGGGCAGTTGGTTGTTTCGCTGGAGTTTTTGACAATTAAAATTGAGCCCACATTTTCAAAGTTAAACACATTTCTTTCAACAACGGTAGTTCCTGCTTCAGCACACCCCTCCCCCCGTGCAGCGGCTGCAAACTCACTGATGTGCCTGCTGCCTCTCAGAGTTCCTGCTGCTCTAAACATTAAAATAATTATTTCATGTCTGTTCCTCACTTCTGATTACCTTCAATGGTGTCTGTTTGTTGCAAAAACCAGGTACAAAAACTAACTTGTTTTTATCTGACTATTTTTCTGTCCTGTCTGTTTATTATCTTCCTGCATCTCCTCTCAATCCTAAAGAAAAACTGCTACCTGGGTTCATATATATTCACCTTATGAGTTACCTTTGAACTGCAGTTCTAAAAGATCTACCGACCGCAAAAACAGCAGAGTGTGAGCTGCTCGCCGGCCGCATCAGTGAGGTGCGTCACTGGAGGACAAATCAGATGATGCGCCCCACTCCACAGCAGCGGGGTGCATCAGGCAAGAATAAAAGACAGAAAACATAAAAGGAAATGAGCCGACATGAACGATCGCGTTACATTTGTTTTTGAGTGGTGACACCTGATTTGATAATGTTACTGTGGCCGTGCTCAGGACGCAGATGTCTGGAGCGTGTCAACAATTGGAGCTTTGCATGCGCAAGCTGGTTAAGGTTAGGATGGGGGTGAGGGGAAGGTTAAATCGCAAGAGGGAAAAGGTCACAATTTGGTTAAACGTCCGTTTTACGGCAGGTGTCAGTACCGATGCTCTGGCACAGCGCGTCGCCTCCGACTCGATCCAGACGCGCAGGGGCTCGTCACCTGCTGTCTTTTCCGAGGACTGCATCTTGTCATTATCACGTGACAGCGACTAGTCGATGACAGGCATAAAAAGTCACTACAGAGGAGTGAAGTCGACTAGTCGACTAGTTCATACAACCCCTAGTGTGCATGTGGGGGGTCTTGTTCTGTGTGAAAACGAAGTGGTACAAGTGATAATGCTGCAGGATTTCATAATTGTGTCCTTCTCAGCAGCAGCACTGCAGGTGCTCTCCATGTCCAAAATGTGCGTAAGCAAGGTCCTTAGTCAACTTAAGGTTGCGCACATTTCCCCGCTAAGCTTTCTTTCATGAATCCCAAAGTTTACGTGGAAAGTTGCTTACGCAGTTTTCCGACCCCGTTTTGTACGTAAGCAAGCTTGATGAATGAGGCCCCTCGTCAGTTCATTAAGCCAATCAGAAAAAAAGTTTCTTATATAAGGAACCCAGCAAATTTTATCAAGTCACTGACTGGTGTCAGTGACTTTACAGCAATCCTCATACTAAGCAAGCATGCAGCGACAGTGGAGAGGAAAACTCCCTTTTAACAGGAAGAAACCTCCAGAGGATCCTGGCTCAGTATAAGCAGCCATCCTCCACGACTCACTGGGGATCGAGAAGACAGAGCACACACACACACACACACACACACACAACATATATGCCAAATAATGTTTCTATGGTTATATTGTGATTTCTTAGTAAACATTCTATTTCGTGAGAGATAAACTTTATTGTATTTATCCTAGTGAATAATTAAAGGGGTGATCTAGTAGTAGGACATTCAATGTCAAAGAAAGTAGAACACTATTGTAGCTTCTTCTGGGGAGAAAAATATTTAGAGAAAAAATACAGTTACCAGCTGAAATAGCAGGAAATATTACAGTTAAAGAGCAAATTATAGAAGAAAGTAGTCGAGTGTGGAAAGTGGTCAGTATGTCCTCCAGCAGTCTAAGCCTATAGCAGCATAACTACAGAGATAACTCTGGATAACCTAGCCTTTTTAGATGGAGGCATGTTGGAGGCAGGGCAAGGGAGAGCCGTCTTTACCGACTGTACACTCCACCTCCCTCTACTCCCTCACTTGTCCAGGTCTGGGCTAACATCAGATTTTAACCATAGACCCTATTGTAACATCCAGAAAGAGTCAATTTTGACCTATATATTGACCTGCATAGTGATCGGTCATCTACAGAAATAATTCCACTATCTAGGTGGATTTTCTATTCTATCTTATAACACCCAGAAGATTCTGCAGTGCGTGTTGACTATCCATGAAGACAAGATTGTCAAACTTATCTCAGACTGCTGGATTCCACACCCTGAATGAAAAGTGAACTTTTACAACTCTTAAGTTAAATAATCATAAATAATATGGTTGAATGAACCAGATGTTATATGAAATGTTTGAATATTCTGTGCCTAATTCAGTGAAGTTGAAATGAATATTGTCTTACAATGATCCATTTACATCTTATGATCAGTTGTAACGTGACGGAGGAGCTATTCCTCCGAAGGTTATTTACCTTCTCTCCACAGATGCCTCTGACACAGTACTAAACTGCATGAGACTGCCTCAAGGTCATGCATTCGCTTCTAAAACTGTTTTCTTTCCAGCTCAAGAGAAGATTGAAGATAAAGGACTCTTTCCTTTCAATAAATCAAATAACTCTATTTTTAATTAAGCTAATCAAACAAAGTGTTAGTCAATAATATAATGTTGACCGATCTGTGAAATGACGATGCTATGATTAATATGCTTTAATAAGTAACATGACTTCAATCTAGTGCACTAGACACGCTGACTACACGTAATGTAAACGCATGACACATTGCTGTTACTGATCCAATCAGAACCTTGCTTTCTGAAGCGTGGCATAGTCTCTATGGTGTTTATAAATCTGCCAACTTTGATTTGACCAGAAATCAAAACATCCAGATTAATAAAACCAGTTTCCACGCCATCTTAGTTCAGTTCTCAAGATCTCACTGGAGTTCACCGCATGCTAAGCGAAGTATCAGACTGGCCATCCGGACTTCCTTATTAAGCAAAGAACCAACAAGCTGGATAAAATCTGTTGCATTTTATCAACCAAGCAACGGTTCCTTTCAGAATAAAAGCTGAACTCACTGACCCAAGGGGAGTCCATCTAACGCTGTGAACCACCTGTCGCTTTTTACCTGGAGACAATCCAAAGACCAGTTTGTCGTACTGCTGACGCTGTTTCACCGGCTCCTGTACCAAAAGGGGGGTCCGAGGACCTGGCATTCTGGATCTGTACGGAGGTCTCATCTCAGGGGTATGTGTGGAGCGACAATATGGCGTCTCATGTGTTTATGAAACTCTGATCAAACTCTGATCATAGCTTGAAGCAAAACATCACAACATCATTCAGACTTGCTTCTCCGGATATGAGAGTTCTGATTATAACATCACTCACACATACACCATTCATCTCACTTCTCATTACACCAGATCCATCCATCACTTAAGAGTTTAGAGTTAGTCTTGTTTAAAATTGCTTAAATTGTTTAGAAATAAATCATCTTAAACATTTTAAAGGACTCTCTCTCTTCTCTTGTCTCTCAGTTAATACAAGGTGTTACATAATCCCTGCAATAAAAAGTTCCAATCTTCTGGTTAAATAACCAAACGGTCCGTAAAATTGATTTCATATTCATTATGGAATCTTATGTCTTACGGGTCCTTAATTAGATGTAAATTAACTCTTTTACACAGTACTGTTTGATTTAACAAGTGAATCATTATCTACACTCATACACAATGTTCATTAGATGCAAGTTAAGATTAACGCCATCTCACATAAGTTTGAAAAGATTCTTTCAATTCAATTAAATTTTATTTATATAGCGCCAAATCACGACAAGAGTCGTCTCAAGGCACTTCACATAATAAACATTCCAATCCAGGTCAGTTCATTAAGCCAGCCAGAAAAAGTGTTTCCTATATAAGGAACCCAGCAAACTGCATCAAGTCACTGACTAGTGTCAGTGACTTTACAGCAATCCTGATACTAAGCATTTAGCCATCCTCCACGACTCACTGGGGATCGAGAAGACAGAGCAGGCACACACACACACACACACGCACCAAGCAATGTGTCTATGATTACATTGTGATTTCTTAGTAAATATTCTATTTGGCGAGAGATAAACTTTGTTGTATTCATCCCAGTGACTCTATAATTAAACGGGTAAACTAGCAGTAGCACATCCAACGTCAAGGAAAGCAAAAAGTTATTATCAGGAGAGGGATAATGTTTTAGTGGTTAGCAGCAGTGTGCTAGACGATGGCCCCCTCCCTGAGGCCACCACAGCTCAGCAGAACATCATTGTGGCTTCTTCTGGGGAGAAAAACACTTAGAGAAAAAATAAAGTTAACCGCTGAAATTGCAGAAAACAATACAGTTAAACAGTAGATTGTAGTAGAAAGTAGTAGAGTGTGAAAAGTGGTCAGTGTATCCTCCGGCAGTCTAAGCCTATAGCAGCATAACTACAGAGATAATTCTCGATAACCTAGCTTTTTAGATAGAGGCATGTTGGAGGCAGGGCAAGGGAGAGCCATCTTTATTCTTTATGCTTTATCCACAGAACTAGAAAATCTTGTTTCTGGAAGGTGTGGTTTTCTGAGGGATGTTTGGTAAAGCCAACAAACATGTCAAATTCTGATTTGCAGAAATCATAAACTCTAGATTATTAAAACTAGAGTGACTTCCCGAGTTATTCAGTTTTGAGCGGAACTCCAAAGCGGCCAATTTGGAACCAGCCTCCTTGAGACGCCTCTCTCTTTGACACACAGTCAAACCTGTTGGCACACTGCCAGCTGAAAAAATCATACGGCTCCTTGAGCATCCGTCTTAGACGCAACAAACCTTCCTGTCTGTTGTGACCTGGAAACATCTCGAGACCGGAATGGTCGCACTGCGGTTATTCTACGAACTTCGGTGCCTTGAAGTCCACTGTATGACTTCCTGAGATTCCAGATCTGAATGGGGGTCTCCAATCAGGGTTTGGAGACACAACAAATACAAAGGTTCTGATATACATCTACTTTACACCACACCACCTACAACTCACATTACATCACCACATATGCACTCCATCACATATCATTATTCATAGCTTGTCATATATTATCAGTTTAGAAAATAATACAATTCCTTTTAACTATATACTTGACTGCCTGAAATAAAGCTTCTTTCCGGAGTATTTCTCTTATCCAATGGCACCATCTAGTGGCTGACAAGCGTATCACACAAAACCGCTGTTCCTCTGTTTTTTTTAAGATGGCTACTTCACATTTCTGTTTATAAACGTGCTTCTTTAGCAAACAGAGCTAAAACACGTTGTTTTACGAGTATTATTCTCATGTCATGTTGTGTTTTCATATATTTATATTTTAGAGACTTTCTTGTCTGTGAAAAGTTCATCAACTCTGCATCAGTCGAGGTATTCCTTCAATGTGAAGCATCTAAGCGGTAGTCGAACACTATGGTTAGTTCTAGTCGGCGCTCAGTTTCCTATGGCACGGAGCTTTGCCGGGCAGGGGGCGTGCTTAGCAAAAAAAAAGACGTATTGCTTATATTATATCACAGTACATGACAAGATAATCACTTTTACGGATTTCTGACAAATCATACATAATTTCTGAAAGAGGAAAACTCCGGAAAGCAGCTTTAATACGAAGTGTGTTTATGGTCCCTGAACAAGCAAATAATCCTAAACTCTTCTGATTAAACATTCAAAGATCAATCAGGTTGGTTTTTCATATTTATATGGAATCATCACATCTTATTGGCCATAAGTAAATATGCAGTCGTTACGCTATCATGTGTGACGCTACACTATCAATCTATTTTAAGCCAAATGTAGACAAGCTGTCTGCCTCACGGACTAAAGCTGGGAGTTGGTTCCACAATAGAGGAGCCTGATAGCTAAAAGATCTGCCTCTCATCCTATTTTTAGATATTCTGGGAACCACCAGTAAATCTGCAGTCAGAGAGCGAAGTGCTCGGTTAGGAACATATGGAACAATCAGGTCTCTGATGTATGATGGAGCTTGATTATTTAGAGCTTTATATGTGAGAAGGAGGATCTTAAAATATATTCTGAATTTAACAGGTAGCCAATGTAGGGAAGCTAAGACAGGAGAGATATGATCTCTCTTTTTAATTCTCATCAGAACTCTAGCTGCAGCATTTTGGACAAGCTGAAGACTTTAAACTACATTCTGTGGACTTCCTGAGAGTAATGAATTACAGTAACTCAGTCTTGATGTAATAAATGCATGAACTAGTTTGTCATGAAAATCAAAACCTTAAAACAAACTCTAAAAGTAGCAGGGAGCCAGTGAATCCGTAGGACAGGAGTAATATGACTATGGTGGTTGGTGCTTGTCAGAAACCTGACAGCAGCATTCTGAACCACCTGAAGGCAATTCAAAGCCGAGTCAGGGGTGCCAAGAGCATTGACATAGTTAAGGTGGGAGGTTATAAACGTGTGAATCACTGATTCTCAGTGCCTCCTCTTCAGTAATGGTTTCAGACATGTAAGTCGACACAACTGGAAAAAGCACAATTGTACCACAGTGTTTATTTGAGGAACCATTGAGATGGTTTAGATGTTACTTACTCTTTAATTGCATCTAAACAGAAGAGTTACAAAAAATAATCCCCCTCAGAGTTCGCATGAATGTAAACTATATATTAAACCAGGCTTTAAAGATGTTGATTTCTGTTGTGTTCATGGCATTTTTAACATGAGAGTCAATGAGGATTTGCTCATTTCTGGTGCCAGCCCCTAGTGGAGGAGGGTGGAACTGCAATTTTAGCCACTCCTTCTTGGCTTCAAAAAATGCTGACCAAAATGGCCCCTTGGTTTAAACTAGCACTTCACTCAAAGCAATGAGATGAAAGGCTTTAGTAAGGAGCAAAACAAAACATGGCACTCAACAATTTTTGTGTTTCTATTATCCTTCGAGGATAAATTGAGATAATGTTCTTTAAAATCACTCTGATCCTACACTAATAACACTTCCTGCTGCCCGAATCTAATCCTCCCACAAATGTAGTTTTTAAATGTATTCCTTTAAAACATTTAACCAGAAATATTCATCTGCTTACTATGTAGATCTCAGCATTTTTTATTTATTTAATGTATTTCATACCTGCAAAACCTTCCCAGGAAAAGGAAAGTCATTATTTTCTCTGTCTGTTAAATTTTCTTTCTTTTGCTTGACATCATACTATCTATGTCTACAGCCTTGAAGCCTGTCATCCATCTGCTAAAACAGCTGTGCAAACATTAATGTACATGTAAAGTGAAAACATAGCCATGGGCTACAACAGGTTTTCAAGTATGAAGATAATTCAACCAGTGAACCCAACATGTATCTTTTATTCACCTGAGATAGCTTCTTGAGCTGACTGAAGCTGTGGGGTAAAGTGCGGGGTCTGATTTCTCGCTTAAACTGCAGAAATAAATAAGAGAAGAGCTTATAGATGCATTTTAAAAAGAGAAACCCATGATATGTTCTCTTCAAAAGAAGACAAACCTGCTGTTTAAAGTTGAAGAGTTCCTCAACTCTACTTAACGCATAAAGCGCATTTACACAACCTGCGTTGACCAAAGTGCTGCACAAGATATAAAAATATTTATATAGCACAGAAACACCCATCCATTATCTGAATCCACTCGTCCACGCTGGGTTGCGTGGGGCTGGTGCCTATCTCCAGTAGTCTCAGGGCAAGTCAGAGACACACAGGACACACAAGCATATACACACGCACACCTAAGAACAATCGTAGAAAACCCAATCAACCTGGCAGTCATGTTTTTGGACTTTGGGAGGAAACCGGAGTACCCGGAGAGAAACCACGCATGCAAAGGGGGAACACACAAACTTCACGCAGAAAGAACCCAGCCTTGGATTTGAACTCAGGACCTTCTTTCTGCAAGGCAACACTGCTAACCACTGTGCAGCCGACCAGCACAGAAACAGTGCAATGATGGGAAATGGCCTGTATTTGATATAGCGCCTTCTAAAGTCCTGGAGCCCCCCAAGGCGCTTTACAACACAGTCAGTCATTCACCTATTCACACACACACATTCACACACTGGTGATGATGAGTGTAGCGTATTCTACATACTAGAATCAACACTGTTTGCTATCAGCTGTAGAGATTCTGAGAATGACCAAGCAGATTAGCATATGAAGCTTATATATAAATATCCAAGATACTTATATAATCGATATAAGTTCATACACCAACGTGTTTGGTCTATATTTAATCCAAAGATTAATGTTTAATTTAAGATAATTAAATTTAATAGCAAAAGTTTATTTTTGAATCAGAAGTTAGAAATCTTTGCTTTTTCAATAACCAGAAATATTTATACCTTTCTGTGTTTCATTTCAAAGATTAGGCAGAGTTTAAAAATTGAAGAATTTATTACTAACAATTTTAAACTTGACAATTTGGAACGACAATTTAAATGACAATTAAAAATGACAATTCATGGATGACAATTTACCAGCTGTGATATTAAAACTTGTTTTAAAGGCAAACCCTGTGATTGAATGAAAACTAAATTGAAAATATGAGTTTGGATGCGTGAATGTTCTCAGAAGGTTTCTTTCAGAGAGAGAAGCGCGTTCTGGGTTGAAATGATGGTTTTGCTGCTAACTGTTGTTACTTAGAGAAACAGCATCAGATGTCATCTGTTGAAAGTGTCTACCTCACCCAGTTTCAGGAGACCCCCTTTTGGATCAGAGATGTCAGGTGGAGATAATTTCCTCCGGGCACGAGGCTGATAGAAGGACCTCAATGCGACCAAATCAGTCCTGGGATGGGACTGATGAGCACCACTGCAGGAGCCACTGGGGTTAAAGACAGTGAGTTCTGTCTTGTTTTCATTCAATCAAAAGAAGTTGTGCAACAACCAAGATTTTCCATAGTTTAGACAGTCCAAGAGCAACTTGATGGAAGAGGAGTCATTGTCTCACCTGAATGCAAACCTGCATGTCATTGACGTAACAATTGAAGGTGATGATGTATTTCTGAAACAGAAACCCAATAGGTAGCATTTAAAAAGAAAACAGCAGGGGACCTAAAATGGAGCCCTGTAGAACTCCACAACTAACCCGAGTAGCGGGGAAGTAACTTAAGCTAACAGACATGCACTGATCTGAAAGATGTGATTTAAGGGATACTAGGCAGTTTAGCTTGCTTTTAGCACCGCCAGTGTCTATTTTGTAGAACCAAAAGTGAAACTTATCTCCTCCCTGTGTGTTCATCTTTTTAACACCTTAATCTAACAGCGGACATTTCTCCTCAACCTTCATTAGTTTCAACAAGTGTGGGTCATCACTAAATCAAACAAATCAGCTGTGTTCACTATCTAAATCAATCAGGAAATGTGCTGGAAGCAGACTCCAGCGCCAGGCACGTCAGCTCCACATTAACAAGACTAAAGTGGAACCTAAAGAGTGGCCCTCCACTCTGAAGTTGCAAGTGGGGTATTCTGTCCACACAGGCCAGTAGGGGTCTGAGTGACATTTCATCAACACTGTAAAAGGTCACTTTAGCACATACTGGCTGAAGAAAAAATAAATATTTTTTTTAAATGCATAGTATCCCTTTAAACCATTCTGGGGCAGTCTGCCCAACCCAGTGCTCTAACCTAGAAACCTCGAATCCTGACCAAGCATTAATATGAGTTGGAAGAAAGATCGTCTTGAGTTAAGTTTGTATTCTGTTATGTGAAAAGCCTCATAGATTCCAACATTAGCAACCTGTCAAGAGAAAACCTCCAAGGCTAAAGAAGGTGTTCAGCTCCAGAAAGTGAAGGTAAAGCATTCCTGACTTATGTTGGTGAGAATCTACTCTCAATAATTCAT